CTGCTGAACATCAGGGCCCAGTATCTTCCAGTCAAATCCAGCATCTTCCAATTTAACACGGCCCTTCAAATCAAGGGCCAACTTCTCTGCCACTCTTGAACTACCAGTAAAAAGGGTCATTCGTGGATTTGCCTGTAAATATGATACCATATTACCATTATCATAATAAAAGCAACATGTAACCACATGCAGGTACTGATAAATGATTAGCATAAAATAAAGGAGTTCAAAAGCCAATAAGATCTAACAAGACCAAAAAAACAGAGGTCAATATGAGTTAACATTGAGATCATCATGAAATGGAAGCATAAAAGTAAATTGCAATCTATCAGGAATAATACTATGCTATGCAGAGTCAACGCCTTGGATGGGGAAAAGAAGTAGCAAACAACCAACCTCCATCAAGAGCTTGTTCATTGTCTTCCCATCAGAATTTATGAAGTCCACATCTTCCACAGGTAAGCCACATGCATGAAGCAGGCGCAACATTTGTTCCATAACAATGCTCACCTACAACAATTTTATGTCAATAATTCAGAATTATAACTGCAGACAGATATGAATTTTAAAGGCGAACAAAATTAATGTTTCCAAAATCCCATAGATGAAAATCAAAATACTGTGAAAGAGCGATAGATACAAGTTATACAATGGTTTCTTTAACTGAATTACGATACCAACCAAATGAAATGATATTGCGTGGCAGGAAAAATACATGCCCCCAACCCCCTCCACACGCACAGGGAAAAAAATCATTGCATCACAATTTTTTCTCCACAATTGATTGTGATCAAAATTTCATGCAGCCTATAATCTAGCCCACAATTTTGTATTAGATGCAATGTCATAAAAGTATGCCACAACTAGAGCCAAAAGAACTCACCTTGCTATCAACTTTAAGGACTGGCTTGTTGCCCATATATAGTGCACCCATCAATTGAAGGACTGGAATCTCTAAGGGAAAATTAAAAGGAGTAATAATTGCTACCTGCAGAATTCACCTTCAGCTTTAAGATTCCATCAATAGGCAAAGGTGAATATTTAGGGTGTGAAAAGAGCCAAATATTTCTTTACTAAACCAGACACTCATGAAAAAACTGCAAAACATCTCTGCACAGCATCATTAAACACTAATCTAAACAAAATTTAATTCAAAATCAGAAAGCATCTAATTCTTTTTTATCTATTTTCTTAAGTAGAATTCACATCTATAGGGCATGAAACTTTTTTGTGGAGGGCAAAAAACTATTTCTGATAAAGATAGCACTTAACTTGTAAAAGACTTGGGTTTTCTTGCAGGCAAGAATACCTGAGACAGGGTTTTGACTTTCCATCATATTTAACTAATTGAAACCTCAGGAAGTATTTTTTTTTTTTTTTTTGGGTATAAAAGGACATCATTATTTTACTTAATAACCAAAGGGAAATTAGCCACTCCAGCCAAGATCATCAATTTACATTGCTTGATATATAGACGCAACTAGATTAACATACTAAAGAGTTATACCACCTTCCTTCTTGTTACTAAATCAAAAACACAAATTATTACATATTAATATTACTAGGTTTTATTTTGAAAAACTTGTTTTTATTTTTCATTTCTTACATCTTCTAGTGTACTATATGAATTACTTCCAACAGACTAACCTGCTTGATCACAAGGTAATTGACAATTTTTGCACAATAAACAAGCACCATTGGTGGCAGGATGACATGGACTCATTTTTTGCCTTTAGAATATAGTTTAAAAATTAAAACAAAACAAAATTAAATGAAACAAAATCCTTACGGGACCATATGGCCAACGGAAACCATGACTTTGTTGTCCAAGATGATTTCCAGGTACACCAAAAGACCTTGCCAGGAAACGAACCTGTCAAGATTTTGTTAAAATTAAGCAAGAATAAAGAAGAAATCACTAATGGAATTATATGAGTTTTGAAGCATCCTAGGGAAACCACATAATAATGTCAGTTTTGTGGGTGTATGTGCATGTACCAGGACTAAATTCTTTCACTAACGAATAATCCAGGCATCAATGATAGAATTCACAAAAGGAAATTCATCAGTATTTACCACTCAATGAGCAATTTAGATTATTTCATCATTCCATTACAGAGAATGGCATATTTGTACTTGGGATTTCATTTATTTAGAATTAACATATCTTGTTTTAACATACCTGATCTCCACAAAAGTTCTCTAGAAACTTTTGTGTCACATAGACTTCCGCAAAAGCCTGCTGGTAACTCTTTGGAGAAACTCTTTGTATTAACCTTGTAAAGAAATCCGAAACCTGAGAGTCATGCAGCATAAATTATTATAAGTTTTCAATTAAAGAAGAAAAAGTTGATCTTAAATACAACAGTTAACAATACATAATAAAGTAACATTAAAAAGAAATAATAAAATTAGAAAATCTTCCTTTAGTTTGAAATACCTTAGGAAGTGATAGCATGTGAGCTGCTTTAGTAGATACGTCTCCCAACATGAGATATCTGCAAAAGATTTGTAGCAAAACACCACATTAAATTTCATAAAGATAACCAAAATAAGAACATAAAAACTGATATCATGCTCTAAAGCATAATATACTTGTAACTAAAATACCAAAATTAGTTGTTTTTTTATTTTTTATTTTGGAGTAAAAATAACAGCTGTGTGACATTAGAAAGTTTATTTATTCTCGTTATTATGATAGGCAGGTTTTAGAATACCAGAGTCCCATGTATTTTAGTTACCCCCTTAGCAGAAGTTTGAGACCAACATGGTTGGAAGTTCATTCTACAATGCAACCTTTGTTATATCAGGAACTATATAAACACAGCTGAAAAGATAAGTACTTGCATTCACATTAAATAATCATGTCAATTGCCATAAAAAATGCCGTATCATATTAACCATTTGAGCATCCACTCTCTAATGGACAAGACAAGTATAGAGGTAGGTTTATAATGAAGGATGATGTTCTGATCAATTTTTTTTCCCTATGCGGCAAATCATTAATTGATCCAACCAAAAAACAGATTTTCACTTGTTTCTATTTCGATAAAGAAGATGAAGGAGAGATACAAACGACAATCTGCACTTACCTCTCTGGTGCCTTAAAAGGATTGTGCACACCATGTTTGGGACAGCTGGACAAGCTTTCCACAAAAGGCTATTAGTCGAATAAAAAGAAAAAATTTAGTCAAGAGTCTCAAACTAACTATTGAATTCCAACCAAAAATACCAACTCATCTATAGTCTTCAAATTGAAATTCTTAGTATTTTTCTTTTTTCACAAAATGATGAGAATCCCATCTCACACGCAGGTTAAAGCTTCAAACTTGAAGCTTCTATTCAAATAATAGGCGTGGTGGGTGGTGACTAATAAGATAATGCCTCGTCACTTTATATGTCATAGTTTGAAAGGTAAGGGAGTAATAAAAGAATACAATCAAACTAAACCATCACTAAGCAGCAGCTTTTGTATGTATGCAATAAAAGGAACATTTCAAAATAAAATAATTCACTACAGGGATGCACCTGAATGCCTGTTTCATCAATTTCAGAAACTTTAATGAACGAGTCTCCATTTAAAGGATCTACAACTGTATTACAGTTTGAAGATCCTAACCATTTACCTTGCACTGAAAGTGAAGACAATAAAGAACCATTTAGATTAAAGATTAAAGATGGATTTATCAATAAATATGTGAAACAGAATTTTACAACGAGACTAAACTAAGTACCGTTTAGATTTTGATGCAAAGAAGAAAACAAAATTATAGAATATATGTTCAGGAATCTTTCCTTTTCCATCACATTTCAATTTCTTTAATGAAATAATATTTCACAATCTGCTTCTGGATTTGATAAATACTTGGAAAGAAGGTTTGACACCTTGAAAACAGAGCCTTGGAATATAGAGATAGAAAAATATTTAAGTACATTCTATCATGGTAACCCTTTTCAATCTTTAATTACTAACAAAATTCATGAGCACTAATGCCTATCTGCAAAAAACCAAAAAAATGAAAGGTTGCTGGACATACCCAAGTTCAAAACTTCAGCAGGCTTAGAGCCTGATATCTCTTCTGCTTCAATAGTGGCAAAGGATAATGAATGAGCAAACCTGCAAGATGTTGTAAACATGAATTCAGTATTCCAAAAAACACAATAAGACTTGTATTAAAATCTATAGAAATAAAATAAAATAGTAAAATATTTTAGAATTGTATACAATAAATATGACCGAAAACAAAAGAATCACCCGTTCAAGCTGATACTTTTTTCTTTTATCTTTTTATTTTTAAGTGAATGGGATGAAATCAGAAAACGAAATGGCTTTTCCAGCATCCTGTGAGTTAACTAAACAAATAAAATTTAACACAATGCCCCAGCTGCTCTTGATTTGAGTCCTAAAAAGTTGTCTAACCCAATCAGTTTGCCTAAATGTAGTAAGACCAGACTAGCGAATCAAATAGACCTCCAAAAACCAGTAAACTGCTTACAGAAAAATATTTGTTAAGATAGAAATAGATCAGCAAATATTTTATTTTGGTTTATAGAGTTTTACCTAACTAATTTAGGTCACATTAGCTAAATTGCTTATGCCCTTATTCCATAATCCTGAGTTACTTAGTAAGATCATTTTTTTTATAGAACCAACATTTTAAAATGTTCCATAACAAACAGTACTCTTAGAATTATCCGTGTTTGTCAGTGAATCAACACCAATTATTTTCTGCATTGTTTGATGAGAGAAACCTGAGTACATAAAAAAAAAATTAATAGTTTGATAAGAAAAGAAAAAAAAATCATGTTGATTGTTGTCGTACGAATCAAAGTCCCAACGAACAAAATTCAACTGTTTCACTGGTAACCATCGGCAGTTTAGTTCTTCAAAAATCAGAATCACATAACAAGTTTGATATCGAATTAATTAAGGATGAAAATTATCAAATTTCAATAACTATAGGAGGATCAGCTTTACGAATGCAAAACAATCATTAATAATTGAATAAATTGAAATCTATTTTGACAATAATGAATTTTGGGGTAAAAAAAGAAAGAGGTACCTAGAGAAAGCAAAAGTTGCAAAGGCATTGTGGCTGCGTGAAATTGAATCCTTAGTTGCTCTGCTAACCAAAAGCTTGAACATGCTGTTAGATGAGTTTCTAAAACCCTACCTTCACACACACACACACACTTTCACTCTAGTTCAAAATGAAGTGACACTCTCATCTCCTGTTTCTTCTTATAAATAGCAAATTAAAATGAATAAAAAAAGGAGTCGCATTGAAGAGTTTGATGGATTCTGAACGCAATCTTGTAGATTTCATAAGCCACGTGTTGGACACGTACAAGTGAGTCAGTGACATTGTCATATTACCTGGTCTTAACATCACGTGGAGATAGCATTGGTTTCCGTAATGGACTTGGAATGGTTTCTTTTTGGTAGAAAGCAAATTTAGAATGATTGAATTATGGGAAGAAATCAAATTAAGATTCATCAAATCAAAACATTAGCACGTCAATGTGACAAGCCTTCCTAACATAAAATAAAATATTAACCATTTTCATTTCAATGCCATTTTTTTTGTTGGAGTTCAAAGCAAAGGTGAAATAACTTTCATATAACATTTTGTATGAGTAACAAGACTTCTTATACAATCCACAGTACATAATTTAAATTCCATAATCTCACTAATTAATTAATCGTAAATGATGTAATAAAATTTATAACTTAATAGTTTGAATTAAAAAAAATTATTTTTCAAAAAATATAATTCTTTTAAGAACCTCAAATAACTAAAGGCCTTGTGAAGAGTTTATATATAGGCTTTAGGTCACTGCCTCATTTGCCTTTAAAGACAACAATAATCCTTAAGACAGCAATGTCCCTAAGGCTAAAAGTATCTATCATCTGATATTACTGAAACACTAAAATGTCTTGCAATTATAATTTGAGTCCATTTTTTTTTTTCACCGATCAATTAGAATAAATTATAATAATTCGCCCCGTCTTTGAATCAGTTGACATTTTTCACAAGGTTTACGAACAGAGGCCATTAATTTCATATCTGTAATTACTTAAATATTCCCTCCAATCATTTTCGACTTTCGTACGACATAGTTTTTTTTTTCTTCCTTTTAATAAATATTGTTTATATTAATTATTTTTATAAAAATATCCTTAATTAAAATCATTTTTCTTAATTTAATTTGGTAGAGTAAATGAATCATTGGTATTAAGAATGATTTTTATTAAAAATGTAAATTTATAATAAAACTAATATTATCAACAAAATTAATTAAATTTTTTAATTCCATTGAATTAGGTAATAATGTCTTCTAACCCGAAGGAGTAATTTATAAAAATAAAAAAAAAATAAAAAAAGGTAAATTTGAGACTCGTGCATGTTGAGTGGTTTGGTAAAAGTATCAAGCACACAATAAAAATCTGACATCATACAAAATCAAACTTCTATTATTATAAATTTTAATAATAACATAATTGAAAATGAAACTAAAATTCTAAGTAACAACTCAATCTTTATTATTCCAAAAAAAAAACCTTAAAAAACAACCTGGATAATTATCATTATTATAATATTTTGTAAATAATATATTTTTTTGACAAGAAAGAAAACAAAGCTCAATGACCATTATATTATATATGAGAAATTTCTTATTAAGTTTCGTTTCACACTCGTGGAGAAATGACAACATCTACAATATATACAGAAACTCATTCATCGGAATATACAACTCATTGAAAGGAAAAATGTGGCTCAACACCAAAACATCACTCATTCACCATGTTAAACCATCCATGGAATCTCCCTTCTCGAAATTGCACAACCATCAAGCCAGCCTCCTCCTTGTACCACCATCATGGAACCACTATCATTCCTTGCAGATACAGCAACCAAAAGCACTCTCAAAAACCAAAGCCTAAGCTCCAAAATTTTCACAACTATTGCATCCCTCATCCACTTAACAAATGTCCTTTCATGATATTGCTTACTTCACATTTTTTTATAAATAGTCACGCATTGTTCACGACTTCCACACACATGCAACACTAAGCGGCTACTTCAATTTGAGATTGCGTAAAAAGAAGCACCTGTCCAATTCTTTAAAATTATTTAGACATGCATTATTTATGCTAGCCTGTTTAGCATTAATAAAAATTGTTTTCTTTTATCACATCAGCACCTCAACCATTGACGAACAGACCGATATTTAGTAATAAAAAAGGCTAATAAAACTCAATTTTCATAAATTTATTCTAAGATCTGAAAAGCTGCCATAGAGGCTGTCAGACTGGCAAAACCTGCATGCTAATATACTTCCTCTCCTTTTACATTTCTAATCTCAATGATCCTTTATAAATAGGACCCCGATCTACATTCTAATCTCATCGTTCCTATCATAAACAGGACTTCTTTTTTCATGTTGATGGAGGAATTTCCCAATTCTTTGGCACAGGCCCAACATCATAGATAATTTCTCTATGACAAGACCATACAAGTTTTATAGCTTCGGGTGTTCCAATTCCTGCACCTCTAGCATCACCAGCGGGTCCAAACCTGCGCGAAATTTTTTATTTTCAACAGATTAAAGCATCATTTTTATAACTATGTACAAGTAAAAAAATATATCAATTTACCAGTGATTCTGTGGAGCTCCAGTTGTCCTTGCTCTTAAACCAGCATAAGTAGTGCCATTTACTGATTGGCCAATGACTTCCTGCAAATGCGTGTTTAGTCCCAAATGACCGCATCAGAATCATAGAGACCCAACACAAAATAAAGCAGATTCATGATAATTCTTTCAGAAGATAACACACTCATTTATGTGCCCAGCAGACAAGTAGCATGTTGGATATAATATAAGTGTCGCCATCTAAATTTTGGAGTAGAAATCTAATTGCCATAAAAAATGTTGCAGGCACTTGATCTCATATGCAGAATAATTTTTCGACATGCAGAATAAATTTCGAGTCCTATCCTCTGAACAGCTATAATTTTGTTTACTGAATGAGATGTGAAAACAAGGAATTAATGATTTTATGACCAATTTGGACAATGAGAAAAATTGGCAGGAGTCATACTAAATCGAGACTTGTTAAAAATTGATAAAATTGTTTCATACCACATGCACTTGTACCAAGAAGTTTGAGTTATAAAAGTCTTGCCTGTAAAAACAAAGGATCATTTGAAACTACAGCAGCTGTCAAATGGTTATGCATTCTTTCCACAGCATCCAATACAACTGATAATTGACTGCTTTTGTATTCGGTAATAACCTGGAAACATAAACATAAATTATTTATCTCACAAAAGAGCAAACTAATATTTCTTTTTTCAAAAAAATGCATCAATTTTTTTTTCATGTTCTCCGTCTCCTTTTCCATACCTGGAAGGGTCCAAATATTTCCTTTGTCACAAGCTCAAAATTCTTATTCTTCATAATTTCCTCAAGAGGAACATAGACAGCTGTTGGTTTAATAGCGCCATAAATAGACGGAATTGAATGATCTTCTAAAGGTTGACCCCCGAAGAGCAGCTTTGATCCTGGTATCTCAAGCAATTTATTGATGTGTTCTAGCATTGAATCAGTTGTCACCTGTAACATATGAGATGAAAAATCAAGAATTCCAAATGAACCAAGCTTCATTACACAAAAGACAGCAAGTACATAAAGTGTGTCATACACTCATTCATGCTTTTGTACACGAGGAATGAAGTTGATACTATGCTTATTTGTAGACAATAGGAAGTGATTTATGGTAACGGTGACAACTTTTATTTTACTTTTAGTAATGTCCAAGTATGTTCTTAATTTAGATCTTCAAAATTGCAAGTACTTATTTATAACTATTTTTATCAATTTTTAGATATATCTATATATGTATCTTACAGGTATTATGTGCTATATAGTTTTGGAATAATTGTTTCGTTCTGATACGTATTCTATCTATGCATCATATACTGCCACAAACTTTGAGCAGGACAGGAAAACAGTGTTAACTGTTAAATCATAGTTCAATTACTAAGAGGGGAAAGTGACAGACATGTAATACTTACTGTGAGAACTGGGCCGATAGTCAAGTCTGCTAGCTTTCTTCTCTCAGCAAGATCTTTCAACTTAGATAGCAAGGAAGTTTTAGACCAGTTCTGAAAAAGGGAAATTCAAACCCTGAAGTTAGTAAAAACACAATACATAAAGTGCATCTTGCAAAATAAGTAACCATTGTGCATCCATCACCCTTGTTATTGAGAACAATTAAGCATGAACAAGTTCTCAAAATAACCATTGTAACGGACCTCATGCATGAATAACAATGATTGTGCCGAGCACTTCTGGCCACTGCATGCATATGCATCCTGATCACATACCCACGCTACGTAATCTTCCTGAAACCAAGAAAGTAATGTTGATTTCATTACTCACTTTAAAAGAGATAATTCTTTTTATTTTTATCTCTCTCCCTAGTAATAATTTCAGTAGGACAAGTATTTTATTTTGTCATTAAAGAATGAGTCTAACGACCTGATTGACATCAGGGCCCAATATTTTCCAGTCAAATCCAGCATCTTCCAATTTAACACGGCCCTTCAAATCCACTGCCAACTTCTCTGCCACTCTTGAACTACCAGTAAACAGGGTCATTCGTGGATTTGCCTGCAAATTTACAACTACTTTATGATCCAATATTATATTATAAAAAGAACATGTAACCATATATAGACATTGATATATGATTATCACAAAGAAAATTGGCAATCTTTCAGGAATAATATCATGCACTGCAGAAACAATTCATTGGATGAAGAAAAGAAAAAGGTACCAAATAACTAACCTCTAGTAACAGCTTGTTCATTGTCTTCCCATCAGAATTTATGAAGTCTACATCTTCTACAGGTAAGCCACAAGTATGAAGCAGGCGCAACATTTGTTCCATAACAATGCTCACCTACAACAATGTGAGTCAATAATTCAACATTATAACTGCAGAAAGATTTGAATTTTAAAAGCAAATAAAATTAACTGAATGAAAATACCAACCAAGTTACAATTATTTTCACCACAACTGATTGTGATCATGCAGCCTATAAGCTAATCAACTCACCTTGCTATCAACTTTAAGGACCGGCTTGTTGCCCATATAAAGCGCTCCCATCAATTGAAGGACAGGAATCTCTAAGGGAAAATTAAAAGGAGTAATAATTGCCACCTACAGAGAACACACTTTCAGCTTTAATATTAAAAGATGAGGAGGGGAAGGTGAATGACTGAATGTTTATGGA